TTCTGATCCTACTACCCGAATGTCACAGCAGAATCGAGACTCATCAACCCAAACAATGTTTTTTCAATCTTCTGTTGTCCAGGTTTTAATGAGCCCGTGTGAGCTGTAGCCTCAGTTTCTTTAGCTAACAGGTGCTGATGTAGCCTTCTGCTGCTGTAGCTTCTGCTTCATTCCTATTGTGGGTTCAGAGATGCTCTTTTGCATACCTAGCTGTAGCACATAGCTTTGAGTTATCGTTTTCTTCCTATCAGTCCAAAGCAATCTGGCCATTCACTCAATTAGTTGACATTTTCTCTCTTTTGGACCATTTCAGACCGTTCTCTCTGGACTGTAGAGATGGTTTATGTTGGAAAATCCCTGTAGATCAGCACTTTCTGAAATACTCAGCCTAGCCTAGCTGACACCAACAACCATACCACATTTAAAGTTATTTAAATCTTCTTTCTTCCCCATTCTGGTGCTCGGCTGAAAAAAGCAGACATTTTATTCACTTAATTAACAGCTGTTAACCACAGTAGAACACACAAGCATCAGGTAATTATCTGGTTAATGATTAAGTTTAAAAAAAACTCTCAACTTGACTCCAGAGATGATATCTCTGTGTTGGTTATTTTGCTGCAGTCATTGTTTTTGAAGCAAAGAATTGTCTATGTTTGGGAATATGGGATAATAATTTGATAAATGTACTTTAAGTGATATAACCATATCTAACAGATGACTAAGACTTCTAAAATTATAGACCACATCTACAAAATTAAGATCCAGGTTATAAAATTTGTGTCCTGTTCTTCAGTGGTGGGGAAGTTAAATGGCATGTTTTGCATAAAATTTAAAATGTTGCATATAAATGTTCATATATATGTTGTGATTGCATTAAAGGAATTTAAATGGCTAAATATACAGGACATAATTCCAAACTATTGATGTGCATAGTAGCATACTTTAAAAAAACCCATTTCCATGAGCTCTCTGGAATTAGAAAATAACTGTCAGAAACTTTCATTGCATTACAGGCCACAGTGTCCATCATGCTGATCCATATCTCTATGAAGGGGTAAAAACAGGGCTCCATGGAAGAGCTCAGCTTTCTCTTCTAATTGAGCATTAGTGTCATTAATTTGAACTCACAAGCTAATGTTGCACTGGTCAGTGGTCATGACAATGATGTGCTCTTCCTAATGCACAGAGTAAAAGGACGTTTTACTGGACGTGGAGTGGAGATTTAGAAGAAGCGCACACATAGAGTCAGCAGGTTAGTAATCTCATACATGACCAAGATGAAAAGCAAAAGGAAATAGTTGCATTAGTGCATTAGTAAAGATACACCAATGTGTTTGGTGTTGCAGGTGGCCAAATCACTTGGACAGATTTCTCCCTGTCTTGGCATCTTGCAAAAAACTGTTGGTCAAACTCAAAATGATTTCTCCTCCCGCCCTTTTCTGAAAACAGTCTTGTGGGAAATTACAGCAAAATCTGAATTAATTTAATTTTCAACTGATGAATTATTCGACTCTTTTTGCTTGTGTATATATATATGTGTGTCTGTGTGTTTGTGTGATCATTTTAAAAGAAATTACATACCTCTAAGATGTCATCGGATGCAACTTAGTTTCATCTATTTGGTATTTAATCACATGAGTCAGGAGGATATGGTATCAGAGAGGAACACTAATGTAAAAGGAAGCCATCTTGCACTTGACTGCGTTTGATAAGTCAGCATCAGATTCATCAGCTAATGTGCAACTTATCTTAAAGAAACCGAGTTTCTGCTATTTGTGCAATCTTATTTAACAAATGCATAGAGACTACAAGACTGAGAGGGATACAGCTGCTATGGGATGCTGCTCAGTATAAAGTAGAGACACATTTAATGTTTGTTTATTACTTTACCAGGGAAAATAAGTGGCTGTTTGTCTGTCTGGTATTTGGTGCAAGGAGCAAGTGTGCAATGGGCTTAAAGCACCTTTTTCAGTCACATCAGCTTTCTGTAGCTGCTGGGAACAGGTTAGTGAGTATATACCCAAAGTTTTAATACCATAATAATGAGTTGAGAAAGAATTATACTCGTTGATGTGCAAAAGCATCTGATCAAAGAGCAACTTGCTATGGGACAGTTGGCCAAATAGAAGTGGAGGTTTAGGTATACTTTTGACCCTGTGTGGATTAGTTGTGTGCCCATTAAAGATGTCTGCTGTGTAATCATTCCACCCTGGAGAAAAGAACAGTTCAAAGAAGTGATTAAAAGCCCAAAGTTACCGTTAAAGTGATGTCCATGATGAGTGGATATAACTGAGCCTTTATTAAACTTAGATTCGGAGTGTTTTTGTATATTTTTGTAAGAGAATCTACAGTTATTATCATTTAAAAACACAGAAATGATCTGTGCTAATGTAAAAACACATGACGGGCTCTTTGGAAGAGAAACCACACCCTAACTAGATACAAATTTCTCATACTAAGGCAGGTTGTAAACCTTAATGAAAATATAAGTATGGATGCCGTTTTATTGTGTTTCTTAAATAGAGCTTCATAATTCTTTCTTTAAGTACCACATTTTGAAACGTGATGTCATCCATATGTAGTATTGAGGTTTATTCAACACACAATTGTGTGTTATGCTTTTGCAAATAAATAGTTTAGTGTTAAAAATGAGCATGATCTGCAAATATATAAAGTTGCAGTGCACTGAAAAGTCAAATGAACGTTTAAATTTCCTGTTTATGAATTTTACAGCTGACACAGAAACGGTTTATTTTGACATCTTCACATCACTTACTGTAGATCATTTATTAGTCACATTTTTAGTCTTTTTGCTGGATTTAAACACTACGGTTACAGTGCAGTGCTTAGTGTAAGAGGGGAGCAATCATACATCCCTTCGTGACCACCCTGACTTTCTGACATGTGATAGAGACACACACACACTTAATGAGATTCGACTGCCACCCTGCATGCTTACCTCAGCATGCATGTCAAGGTTTATCTTCTCAGGTACACACACACACACACAAGCAAATGCTAATGAAATTCAGGAGCACTATTAGACTTGTAGATCAGCGGGATGGGTCACTTGCTCTGACTCACAATTTAATGGCGTCTTGGTGTCTCATGCCAACAGATCACAGAGAACAGAAACAGAGGGAGCGAGAAGAGATAGCGATAGGAGGATTTAACGATAACACATAATTGATTTTTTTGATCTCGCACTCTTGCAATAAACACACACACTTGGTGAACCGAGCAGAGGGAGATCTGTGTGAGGATTTAGCAGTGTAAACACATTCTTCATGAACGCTGATAATCCTGCCAAAGAGAAACAGAGAGCATCATTACTTCAGCTCATTGCCATCTCTCCAAACACGCACACAGACACATATATCAGGGTTAACTACTTTCACCTATTCTCTTCGGTCTTCAGTGTATTGCTCAGCAAAGAGCAGACACAAAGGGTGCATCTCGAATTATTTATGCCGCAGTGAAAAGGAATACACCTCATTTTCTCTTTCCTTTTTCCTTCTGGATGGACCACACAGCTAGTGTGGTCTACCATCCATCACCCACCACACCCACCCGTCTCTTCCCTAACTCATCTTGTCTTCATCTGCCTCCTCCTCCTTCCTCCTCCTGGTCTTGGTCTTTCTGTATTTATACTTTCTCCCCTGTCTCTTCTGTATACACCATTCTTTCTCCGTATTTGTCTCCTTGTTCTTTTAGACTCTTTCTCTGCAGTCGCTGGGTTTTTGCTCAGTAACATTGCAGTGTTGTAAAGTGGGATGCACAGCTCGCCCCGAGTACCAGAGAATTTCCAAAACGTCTTTATCCGTGTTCAGAGCAAGAGCAACTGTCAGGACAGTGTGCTTTCCCTGACACATAAAAGGACAACTTGTAAAGCTAAAGTGTCGTTAGTGCATGTTTTGTTATCCTCTAAATCCTCCCTCTCAGCCTTCATCCCTCTCGGCTTCACACAGCAGGAATCCTACCGCAAGTGTCCATCAGCAAAAAAAGTAGCAAACCTAATCTCCCCCCCTTCTCCCCCACCCTCAGAGGATGTACTTATTTCTAGATAAGGCACTTTTGCAAACTTTGGCCAAGAACCAAGAATATCTTCTGTGCTGTAGTTCCATCTGACAGATGAAAGAAGCATCGGCATATTTTAGTCTAGGAATTTCAACTTTCTTATTTTCTCCGCAGTGCTCCTCACAGGATGAGATTAAGCACTTTGCCTACTCTTCTCCATCTTCCCTTCTGTCAACCTTCTCCTCCGTCCTTCCTGATCTCCTGCTCTCCCGTCAGTCCCATTAGTCATGTCCTGATGGCTCATTAACTATTAAAGAGCAGAACGAGGGAAAGAGAGGAGAGGGGCATTCTGTAAGGCTTGCCTATAGTCATTTGGTAATGGATATCAGGGGATGAGATAAGCGAGAAAGCAGGAGATGAGGGTGGAGCAAGTCCGTGGGGTCTCTTTTCCTCGTCTGATGATGAGTGGCAAAAAAGGAAGACAAGTTAGGCCTTTTAGTATGTTGTGTCCTTTGGGATGAAGAAAACGCTCAGAAGCAGAACAGAAGCACATTTGTTTGCATAAAAAGCTTCAAAATATAACCATCTTCAGTCTTGGAGGCTTTTATTCATTCTTAATCAGACAGGCTGAAGAAGGCTTTCAGATAATCCACAAACACTGAACCCTTGTACTGATAAGTTCACCGAGGCCGTTTGCTACTGTACTTTGGATTTATCATATGTTGCTGCCATCTAGTGGCTAAAAAAATCCTTCTTTGAAAGTTGGGGAGTTGTTGAACAAGTTTATAAAAATGTTAAAAATGTCAAAATACAGGTCAAAGAGAATGTTAGTGTCAGTTTGTTCTAATTGACATTGTTTAATTAACATATGTCAAACTAATGAAAGAGGTTAAAATCTTTAGAACAATGCACTTATCACATACAGAGCCTCAGACAGACTGATACAGCTTTTTAACAATATGTATGTGCATGTGTGTTTGCAGACTCTCTGATGCTGGGGACAGAGGTCGACCTGCAGCAGGTGGAGAACACTGTGTTTGCCATAGAGACTGTGTTCAAGGCATGGCTTCAAGAACAGGGTGGAGACAGAGAGCACCTTCACCTCTTGCTACCAAGCCCCATGGATAACCTCATTCCAGGTTAAAATCTACAGCCACACACAGGACGTGAACACACTGATGTTTTAGGAAGTCAGAAATGCATTAGAATGACAGTTTATGACTTTAACAAAGACATGAAAGAAAGAAAGGTTTTTAATGCACATAAATACAGCCACATGACAAACACAGTTTTAACATGACTCTGTGTAGTCGTGAAAAAGTACAAATTTACAGCTTCCATAGAAATTAAGGGGGTAAGTTGCAGCCAGATGCTGCTAATCAAATGCACTTCGTTACCTGATCATAAGCAAGTGTGAGCATCTGATTAGGAGCAGAGGTTTTGGCAGCAGAAGCAATTGTTTCTTCTGTTGAAAACCCTTCCCAGTAGTAGATATCCCAGCATCTCCAAAGTGCTCAGAAGAACTGCATAAAATCCAAGAGCTACATCTCAGACTCTACAGACCTCAGTTAGCGTGTTAAATGTTAAAGTTCATGGCAGTACAATTAGAGAAAGCCTAAAAAACTGTGGGTTGCCAGGAGAAAGCCTCTTCTTTCTAAAAAGAACATGGCAGCATGGCTTAGGTTTGTAAATCTACATCTGAACAGTGTGACTCTTGGATCAGTGTCCTTTGGACAAATGAGACTAAAGTGGAGATGTCTGGGCACCTTATAGTTACTGAGTTGACCACGAACTCCTCTGAATACAGAAGTATTCTAGAGTCCAATATGATCTACAGCAGAATAGCTGAAAAAGACAAGATTTAAAGTTTTTAAAGGCCTCAACCCGACCCGAGAGCAGTTTAGAAACAAATATCCATAAACCTCAATGAACTGAAGCAACATTATAAAGAAGAGTTGGCCATTCATCAACAAACACCCTAGACTGGTCACCAGTCTGTCACACAGAGACAAACCATTTGCACTCACTTTCACTTTTCAGAATTTCTAAAATTCTAAGTTCTACAAACTACTGAATCATGGCGTGTACTTTGTTTTTAACATGACTGCATGTTTCTGTTGCATGTGCAGTGTGCGTGAAGTGCGACATGCAGGAGCGCATGATAAGCCCGGCGCTCATCCCGCTGACCCCGAACCTGGGAGTGAAGACTGAGAGCATTCGGGACTTCCTGCCTGGCCCTAAGGGCTCGGCCAATCAAAGCCCAGCACCGCAGACACTGAAAGTGATCAAGTAAGCGTGGGCATCGATGCTGAGGGCCTTCGAACTATAAGCACAAAAGTTTTTAGGATCAGCTCACCATCACTTTGTTAGGAGAAAGGAAGAGAAGACTTGTGTGTGCAAGATCCAATACCACGCGTTCTCTGTATGCACAGCTCCTTAGTTTGACTTGGGAGCATCAGAGTGCACTTTGTTCTGCTGGAGTTACTGCTCCGACGCTGTAAAAGCAACATGAGCACAAAGTTCAGTCGCTTTTGTTAGGAATTTTGTTGGCCTCGTAAATGTACAATCAGCATGATGGACGAGGAAACCAGAAGATAAAATATATTCCAGAGGACAGGAAAATGCTCATCGTAAAAGTCTGACAAATGAATAAAATCTTTCATACCAATCACAAAACAAATATGGAGAGTTTTACGAGCTTGTAGGTCAAAAATAGCCTCTGTGGACAGTGTCATACAAAAAATGAGCTACATTTGCTTCCTACAAAACAAACTCTTCATGCTATTTTAAACCTCACAGGGATTGTGGACACATGAACTGAATGTAGCGCAGTACATTTTCACTTTCTTCTCTTTCCTACCTGTCAGTAGAGGAATGTGTACGTGCCATTTTCTTTCTCACAAACTCATGCAGCGCACTGAAGATTGTCTCATGGGCCAGCACAAGGCCAGTTGCAGACACACTGGTGGTCCTGTGCTGGCCCATGTGTGGGCCACCTCTGCAAACCTGATCTGGACCACCAAAGGGCCGTCACTCTTTGCGGTATGTGATCCATGTGTAAGTTGTGTGGAGCCACAGGCCAGTTGCAGACACACTGCCGGCCCTGTGCTGGCCCTGTGTTGGCCCTGTGCTGGCCCATATGTCAGCCTAATGTGTACCTTAATCAAGCCATGTAATAACAACATGTGACGGAACATAATAGTGCAAAAGTAACATGAAAAAACTCTGTTTAGACAGTAAATGTACTGACTCTTTCATAGTGCTTTTCTACTCTCCCAGATTACTCAAAGTGCTCTATACAACATTCACACACTTTCTCTAAACTGAGTGCTTCCTAACTGCATTCATACACATTCACGACATGCGGACTGGAGAAGCCAGGGATCAAACCCCTAAACTTCCGATCAGTTGGTGACCTGCTCTACCTCCTGTGCTACAGCCACCCACTGGCAAAGATGAGTAAACCGTCACTAGGTTTTGGATAAAGTGTACACTCACAAACCTTATTTTGAAACGTTGGCTACTATAGCAGTATTGCAACATGGCATTTGGTTCTTCTATCTAAAATAGGAAAATAGGAACATAAATAGTGCCATCATTGCCAGACATGGCCCACATCTGGTTGGCATACACCCTGCCATAACACCGGTCAGTCAGAAGTGCCAGCTTGATCCCGGATCAGGGGAAGACCTGTTTTCTATGGGCCTGGGCCACATACACCGAACCACAATCGGGCCAGATATGGCATGCTATCACATAAACAGTGGCATCATTGCCAGACATGGCCCACATCTGGTTGACATACACCCTGCCATAACACCGGTCAGTCAGAAGTGCCAGCTTGTTGCCAAGTCTGGCCCAGACTTGTTTTCTATGAGCCTGGGCCACATAAACCAAACTACAATCAAGCCAGATATGGCATGCCATCACATAGACATTGCCATCTATGCCGGGGCTGGCCCATATCTGGATGACATACATCTTATCATACCAGAAGTCAACCAGCAGTTCCAGCTTGATACCAAATCCGGGCCAGACCTGCCTGCTATGTGGGGTGGTAATGTTTTCATGCAGTTGAGGTAATGCTGAATTTATTTCCAACAGCTGATGTAATTTTTCCCTAAATGCGCACACACATGCTACACACACGCTAACGATAGAAAGCAGGCGCTGAGGTAGAAACTTGATTTGCATTTGTTTTACATTTTCAGGACCTACAGTAGGAAGTAATGTGCGTTTGTGTGAACGAATGGGCATTCGTTTTGCATGCCAGACGGTTG